TTTGATCAAAAGAGATGTTTGAGAATTGTTTATTTCAGGAGAGGGGGCACTGTAGATTAATTTGTGAAGAAAAAAAAAAAAATTGGATGCTGCTTAGATGACCTTTGATTGACCGGGCTTGGAGGTTGTTACGGGTGTTAAGGTAGGAAACGAAAGCTGTGATTGAGAGGAAGGAGAAATTGGGAAATGGCAGGTTGTACGAGGGGTGGAAAGCTTTAAATCATCTTCAAGCAGTTAGATAAGATTGGATGGTTCTGGGTGAAACTGCTTGGAGGATCGAACCGAGTGACGCGTTGAGGGGGTTTTAAGGGATGCGTTATGGGAATACGAGTTGCGAACAGTGAGGTACTGGGGTTGGCGATGGGTCCGCCTCCGGAGCCAGCGCTCTGAATTTCTGCGAGAATCTGAGACTTGATTGTATTAGGCACGGGGGGGGTGGTTCCTGAGCTGCAACATTCGGTGGGGTGAGTGGTGGGACTGCTGTGAATGAAGTGTACTGAGGTTTAGATTGGAGAGAAGGGTTAGAAGGAAAAATGAGGGGCCGTAACCTTTTGCGGAGGCAGCCTCAAGCACGGATTAGCCTCTGGTGCTTAGGGAAGCACGTAGGAAGAGGTAGAAGGAAATGAGGGAGGAGGCCAGTAAGCTTGCGTTGCTGGCTGATGCTGCCCTGCTTGGACGTCTGCAGCAGGGGCTGCTGGCTATTGATAGGAAAAAGGAGTAGCGGAAGGGTAAGAGTAAGGTGGCGGAGCTTGAATGGCTAGCATTTCACGAAAATCAAATGTTTTTCATCTTATCTGTCTATCCGAGTAAAATGTGTCATTTAAAATACAGGTAAAAAGCTAGTGAAAATTAATACAGAAAATTTGAGTAATTTCATTGCGTGTTCTACGCAGTTTTGCGTCTTGGTTACAAAAAATGACATCAACATCCATAATGTCATCACGTCCTTTAACATCAAACGACCTGCCTTTAGCGACTTTACTTAATATTATTGCAACAAGGCCTGCGGTGCTAGCGGAGGCAGTCTCGCGCTAACGACTGCTACATGAGCTGGAGGCCCGGCTGCATGTGGCGCTGCGGCCGGAAGAGCCTCGGCGTAAAGTTGAGCAGAAGCGGGAAGCGAATGAGGTTTTGCTGAAGTGAGAACTGGGGCGTGGCCCAGGCTCGTTTAAGACCTGCCGCTGCGACCCAAAGCTAATGGCTAAAGGAGCAAAACCGAATGCTGGAAAACTTTCGTGGAACTGAGGTAAGTTGGCTGTATATATACACGTATGTGCTTAAGGTGATTAGCTGACGAGCTCCACCTGGGCCAGACTGATTATCTGATCGTGCTCCTCCCGAACCTTGTTAATAAAACATCATTTATTTTTGCACCAGAACCCTCACAATACAATTTAGTTTTCTCCATCACTCTTTTATCACTTTCTATATTTTTAACCACAATTGTCGTGTCGTCGGCATATTGAAATATTTTCATTAATTCTTCTCCCTCTTCCATTTGTATTCTCTTTATTCTTTTTTCTCTATTTATTAAAAGCCCTAAAGTTTCTGCCACCAAAAGAGTACAACTGCACCGACAACGGACACCCCTGTCTTATGGACCTTAAAACTTTAAGGGCATGGTCTAAAGCGCACGGCGCAGGTGCACTTAGGACGTGTCCAAATCCACTTTGGCTAGTTTAACGACGGGAAAAAACAGTCGGCGCGCCCGGCGCATAGTCTAAAAGGGTTGTCCCTATTCTCTTAATGAGTAATGGGTGTGTTTTAGGCACAACGTGCAATAAACCAATCATGGCGGATTTGCTATTTACATGGCAGAATTTGCAAGTGCAAAGACAGAACGCGTCTCCAAAGAGGAAACGGAGCTGCTCGTGCGCAAGCAAATAGGTAGCCTAATTCTGATACATGCAATGACTATCCATTATGACATGTAGGCATATTTATATTTATGTAGCCTACACAATAATAATCTTTTACATTGCAATCCTTTCATTTTTAATATTTGGCATGTTTGTGTGCTGCTGTGCGTCCCTGTGTGTGTAATAAGCAGAGTGTACGTGCGCTGTGGACCTGCCTATACTAACGCGCTCTTTAAATGACAAAACAACTACTGTGCCATTGACTTTAGATCAGGTTTTAGTTGATCAATGGCGCAGTCTATTTCAGTTGCCTCAAAATAGCAACGTGCCAGCAATGCGCCTGAACACACCTCGTTTTCAGACCAGCACGCCCATGGGCGCACAAATGGGCGCATATGCGTTTGCTATTTAAACGTGACGCAGGACGTGAAAATGATTACTGCGTCGGGCTGAAACTAGCAAAAAACACATGCGTCACGCCTGGCGCCGCATTGCGCCAGATATATGATAGGGCCCTAAAAGGTTGAGTTAAAAAAACGTTGCATTTTACTTTTGTTAAAATATCCCTGTATAAAACTGCAATCCATTTTATAAAATTACCCCCAAACCCAAATTCCTTTAAAACCGCAAATAAAAACCCATGTTCCACTCTGTCAAATGCCTTTTCGAAATCCATACTTATAACGTATGCACATTTTCCTTTTCTTTTATATACCCTACTATATCTCTAATGCTGCTGGTATCATCTGCTATATCCCTCCCCTTTACTCCATACGCTTGGTTGGTTTCTATTATATTTGGCATTAAATTTTTCAACCTGTTCGCTAAGACCTTGGCTAAAATGTTAAAAATCAGTGTTTAGCATTGTAATAGGTCTAAAATTCTTCAGCTCAGTTTTGTCTCCTTTTTTCTTGTATATTATATTCTTTAATCCTAGCTCCATTCTTGGGTTTACTCTCTTTTTTAAAAACAGAAAAAGTAAGCAGGATTTTAAATGAAATTTTTCTTTAAAAACTTTGTAAAACTCACTTCCAATACCTTCTACTCCGGGGCTTTTCCTCACTCTTAATTGATTTATGGCTTGTATAATCTCTTCTGTTGTTATTTCCCTTTCACAATCCTTTTTATCCTCCTCACCAACTTTCCTTGTTATCTGTTGCAACAAAATGTTCCTTTTTTCCTCAGACTTAAAAAGTTCCTCATAAAATTATTTCACTTCTTTTAAAGGGGTCATATGATGTGATTGCAAGTTTTCCTTTCTCTTTGGAGTGTTACAAGCTGATTGTGCATAGATAAGACCCCTGAAGTTGCAAAAACTAAAGTCTCAAAACCAAATAGATATTCTTTATCAAAGTTAAGACTCTGCCACAC